CCCACTGAAATTCTCAGGACTGATGCCTTCCCTGAGCTTCATGCCCGGTTTGTGGATCCCGTGGGTCAGACCCCATGGTGTTCGTGTTGTTCCGTGCCCATTATCCCAAACTTTGCCCCAAACCACCGGATTTGTCCCGGATTTATTGCCAGGGCTGGATAATCTGTCTCAGGCTTAGCCGAGACAGGCTTGACACCCCCTCAAAGCACCCTGGGAGAGGAGGACTAACCCTGGACCCCCCGGGCTGTTCCGTGGGGACGATGCCCACGGGCTCCCTGTCCCTGCAGGAGCTGCCCAGGGATCCTCCGGGAGCCTCCGGAGCCGCTTGGAACGGCGAGCGAGCACAAAGGGGCCAAGCCCCAGCCAGCTGTTAGTCCTGGTGCCAGGAATGCTGCTGCTTCCATAGGACTCCAAAAAAATTCCACTCATAGGAAGCACTTTCCTATTGATTTTTCCTTTTTTTCCCCCTTTTTCCCCCCTTTTTCTCCTTTTTCCCCCTTTTCCCCCTTTTTTTCACCCTTTTCCCCCCTTTTATTCCTTTTTTTTTTTCTTCCCCCCCCCCCCACTTTTTCTCTTTTAAAGAACAGAATATTCTAAAGTTGTGGAAAAATAGGAAAACTCTGTGCTGGCTCCTCTGCTGAGAATGTGGGTGGGATATTTGAAATTCCAGTTTTGATTCCATTCGTAATTCCATTTTTAATAGGCAGTCCTTGGGAAGGTGTCCATGGAGAGGGCAGGACATATAGAAAATATATTTATGTATATTAAATTATATTTACATAAGATTATATTAATATATAAAATTCTATTTATATAAGTTAATATTTTTGATATATATATTCTATTTCTATATCTCTGTTCCTCCATGGGTGAGCTGCTCACAGGTATTGGATAAATGGCCTAAAATTCCCATTTATTTCAAGGAGGTTTTCCTTGGGTAATTCCTAATTCCCTACAATTTTTAGGTTAATTTTTCTGCTGAAATAAGGCAGGATTTTAATCTCTCAGGAAAACAAATCCCTATTTTTTTGATGGATAACCCAGCAGTGGGCAGAGCCCATGCCAGTGGCAGGAAATCTGGGATTCAGAGATGTTCACTCTGCATCTCCTGCAGCCCAACCTCAGAAAATCTGGGATGCAAAGCCAGGGATTGAGGTGAAATTCAGCTGTTTGATGCTTTCCCCGAATTCCCTGTGCTCCGGTTTGCAGCCCACGTGTGTCCATTCCCGGGGATCTTGGAAGTTCGTGCCGTGCTCCCTTTGCTCAGGAGCTCATCCCATATATTCCCCAGCTCATTCCTAGGCTGGTTTTTGGAATTTCCCTTTAATTTGGCATTAAATTCGTCTTTAATTTGTGTTTAATTTGCCGGTGATGGGAATCAATCGGGTTCCATTCCGGGTTGAGCCGTCGGACATTGGAGGGAACGATCCTTAACTATTCAAAATGCCGAAAATACAGGGATAAAATAACAAATACATTTAAGCAAAATCCGTTTGAAGCCATGAAAATTCCAATGCCTGATAAAAGGCCTGTTTTTGTTGTCCCCAGCCAGGTTTTCCTGCTTGGCCAAGCCCCAAATCCCAAATTAAAATATTCTGGTGGAATATTTCTCTTAAAAATTATTTTCAATATGGAATCAAGGGAAATATTGAATTAATAAATTTGAGAGAATTAATTTCCCTTCCTTTTCTCTGCATATGGACGAGTGGCCTCATCCCTCTCATCATGCTTCCCAGAAAACAGCCAAGGTGCCTTTTCTCCAGGACAGGGATTGGGAGGACTTGCATTTATCCTTTGAAAGTTGCTTTGAATTCCTCCTGGACTGAATGAGTTTTTCCAAGCCCACCATGGTTCAAGTGGCTCTTTGTGGATTTATGGAATGATTTGGACTGGGTTGCTTTTATAAGAAAAGCACACAGGGAATATTTCAGGAGAAAGGGGTTCCGGGAAGAGAAGGCAGCTTTTTTCCCGGAGGTATTTAGGGAGCAGGGAGTCGCAATTCTGCGTGTGCCAGGCCAGCGGGAGCGGCTCGGAGTTCTCCCTTTGTCTGTGCCGTGATTGGCATTGTGGCAGTTCACTGAACATCCCCACGTCCCCCCCCACGCTCCGGCACTTCCCTGCCTTCCCCAAACCCACCCAAACTTCCTCTCCGTGCCGGCCAACTTCCAGGCAGAGCTTTGTTCCCCGGAGCCTCCGGAGCGCCAAGCCGGGAATTTGCAGCACGTTGGCACAGCTAAAAATCCACCCCATCCCTTCTCCCTCTCCCACCCTCACAATTTTTCCCCCCGTGGCATGGAGGGGGGGTGTGTTTTTTTCCCGAATCCAGCCAGCGGGGCCTTTTCTCTGGGAAAACGCGGCCGCTCGGCCAGGAAAAGCAGGAGCGCAGAATGCTCTGCTCCTGCCTCTTTTGAGGAGTTGTAGCCATGGGGCTTTGGCACTGCCACCCTTGTCTCTGTGCCAAAAAATATCCGCAGCGCCTGCCGCATTCTAGTACTGGAGGCTTGGCTCGAAAATTCCGCAGTGGATGCGTCGGGAAAGCCACGGTGCTGAATGTGCTCCCTCTGCTTTCCTCCTGAACACTCCCGGAGCTGCCGGGGCACCTGCGCCTTTCACCTCCCAACCCTTGGAAAATGCCGAATTCCTGGGAAACTGGGGAAAACTGAGGAGCGGCTCTTCTCACCCCAGCAGTTGTTGTTTAAAGAGCCGGGTGTTGTCACAGGGCTCGTTGGTGTGTGCCGGGGAAGCGATGGGAGCAGAGGTAATTGGGAATGGATAATTTATAGGGAAGACGTTCCCCCTCAGCCCAGCGGGAATGGTTTGATGGTTACGGGTGAGGGAAAAACCCTCAAACTCTCCACAAACTCTCTGCAAAATCTCCACACAAAATCCACACAGCATCCACACAGAATCCATACAAAATCCACACGGAATCCACACAAAATCCACACAGAACCCACATAGCATCCACACAGACTCTCCAGCCAGGGGTTTTTAACAATTCCCAGAGTCCTCCCTGGATTTGGGATATGCAGGAGGCAGCTTTTTAGTTGCTCCTGGCGGCCACTTCAAAACTGTCTCCGGAGCTCCGGAGCGCCAGGTTCGGTGGGAAAAGCGGTCGCCGGAGATGAAATCTTTCCCGAGCAGCACAGTCCTTAAAAAAAAACCAGCCAAGTCAATCTCCCACTGGCTGCGGAGCCGCTTTGGTACCTCGGAGCCTTCGACAGAGCCCTGGCCGGGTGCCCATTGATGTCATGGAAACACTCAAATTACCGGGAATGATTCACGTCTCCGGCGGTCCCTGTTCCTCCCCCACGCGAGCGGCAGCACGGCCCAGCCCTGACAACTTGTAATTTGCGGGGGGTTTATTTTGGTGCCGGGGTAAATATTTCTGCCCAAACGCAAATTAAGCCGCGCCTGAGACGATGGCAAAGGGGTTGCTCAGGTGCTCCCGCTCTCTCCCCTCAGCCCATGTTTCCTTTCGGGAATTTTTGGCCCCCCCAATTCCTGCCGCTCGTTGTTCCTGAAGACTCCCAGCCCTCTCAGGGAGACGGGAGTGGCACATGGATTGAATTGTTGCGTCTCGGCCTTGAACTTGTGGATTCCCCATTTGGATTTCATTGTGGTTTCAATCCTGACTTATCTCTGGTATTCTCAAGTGGAAGGTTATCTGTGATCTTGGGATACCCAGCTCCGAGGTCTTCCTAACGTTAGGCCTAATCCCCCACAAATCACAACAATACTTGGGAGGTACTGGGATATTTTATACAGAAAACAACAAAATCAAGGAAGAAACAAAAGGCTCCAGAGGCTTAAATTGGGATGGGAAGAAGGAATTTTGATTCCAAGACACTTGGAATAGCCAAACTGTGTCCACAAAGGACCCTCAGAGCTGGTGGATGGATATTAAAGGCTCCTGGAGCCAGGATGTGACCATGGATTTCGGGAATGATTTCAGTGAGCTCTAGCAGCCTTTGTCTGATGATCTATCCTGCCTTGGCTTCTGAATGGAATGTGGCTGGGATTGGGAATAGGGAGCCCGAGAGCAAACCCAGCTCCTGCGTACGGAGTATCCCCAGGATCACTGGGAGTCACAGGGAGCATCTGCTCTCTCATCCTGGGCGCTGCACAAGGGGCTTTGCTGCCCCTGAACGCCGGGAATTTTGGGGGAGATTTTTCCTGCCTCCTGGATGTTTAGTCAGCGGTGCCTCCCCCCCTTCCCCTGCTGGGCTTATCCTCTCCTGAAGGGTGGTCTTTCCCTGGCAATATGTTAGGGATCAGCCCTCTTGCCTGCTCTTTGTCTGGGAGCATGTGGGGCGCTGCTGCTCAGCCACCACTTGGCACAAACCTCCTCTTCCCTCCCTCACTTCCCCATTCAATCCCAAAAAGTCCCTCTTGCTGCCCTCTGGAAAAGCGACAGGGCCGATGCTGCGAGTCGGGCTTTGGCATGGGAGCATTCAGAGCTTCCTGGGAAAAAAGAGAAGGTAGATAAAAGGGGGCTTGGGGTGGGCACAGAGATCCCCACCTGGCTCCCGGCCCTTCTGGCCCAATCCATGCCTCCTTCCCAGGTGGATCATGAGGGAATTTTCTCCTGGGAAAGAGCAGGGAAGCACATCCCCAGCAGCTCCTGGAAGCTGGGAGAGCCAGGAGGTGGGAATGTCAGGTGCCTAGGCGGCAGATCAGCTCCTGCCTTCACCCAGCCCATGGAATCCCATCAAATCCCAGCTCCAAGAGCAGCGCAACCAGGATTAGGAAGCTTAATTCCCATCACCGTCACCAGGAAGTTTAATTCCCATCCCATCCATCCCAGCAGGAAAACTGGGAATCCCTTTCTGTGTATTCCAGTGGCAGCAGTGCCTGGTTTATCTATGGAATATATATATAAGTACATACGGAATCGGTGTTGGGAAAACAGGATGAGCGTCCTCTAAAGCCCTTGGAGAAGCTTTGTGTGTGTTTTTGTGTTATCCATGTATTTACCTGGATTTTCCCTCTCTTTCCAGGTAAAACAGAACGAGGTTCCTACTCATCATATGGACGAGATTCCAACTTACAGGGCTGCCACCAGGTGAGTGCGAATCTGCTCAGGAATTCTCACTGGAAAGCTCCTTCCCGAGCTTTTCCAGCCAGGGTACAGCTCCTGGAGGCTTGACTTGGCTTGACCTCTGCCCACCCCAGTCAGGGCTGCTGGGAGGCATTGCCTGTGTCCAAAATCCCAGCCTCGGGAATGCCACCATGGGAATAGCTTGTGTCAACTCGTGGCCGCTTCCCTAAATCCCGCTTTCCCTGGGGTCTGGGGGAATGCCGTGTGCACACGAGGTCGAACCTGTCTGTAGAAATATGATTTCCCGTCCCTTTTTGTTTGGGAATCGCTTTGGCCGGGAGTCAGGGCCAGCAGGCGAACAGCAAAGCTGTCCCATGGGAGCTCGGCAAAGAGGGAGGAATTCCAGGGAATGCTACAATTCTGGTGTGGTGCAAAGGTATGGCATGTGTGCCTCTGCCTGCCTGCACTCGGAATGCCTGGCCTAAAAACACGCTCCGTGGCCAAATTCCTGGCTTTGTTCCCAGGCAGTTGGGTTTTTCTAAGGACACTTTCTCTCCTCATTCCAAGAACAGTGTTAATGGTGGGGTTTAATCCCTCTGCTTCTTCCTTTCCCTTTTCTGAAGGGCGGTAGCTTCGGAAAAGTATCCAAGAGATTGAAGGGCTTCCTTAATATTTATTCCAGGCTTTCCAGGCTTCAAATCCTCCTGGGAAAATTCAAAGCAAGCACCAAAATGGGGATATTTCGGGCTTGATCCCTGCTTTCCACGTGCCTTAGGAATGTGGGAAAAGGGTCTATCCTTGTGTTTTAAGAATGAGGCAATTTGAGGAATCCCTCAGGAATTCCTGGGTGTGTCAGGCTGTTGTGTGACCATTCCCACCACATTCCTGAGTGCCAGGCTGGCACTGGGAGAGGTGGGAAGGAAAGGGAAGGCACAGAAGGGGCTGCCCAGGGAATGATGGAGTCCCCATCCCTGGAATTGCTCCCCAAATGTGTGGATTTGGATTACAGGTGACTGTGGATGGTTGGACTTGATCTCGGAGGGGTTTTCCAAGAGAAATAATTCTGTGATTCCAGTGGTGCTGGGCCTTGCTTAGGTGGCATCACACATTCCCAACTCCCTGGGGAAAGAGCTGGAAGGATGGAGAGGGGAAAGGGAAACCAAATTCTAGGCCTTGTCTTCTTTCCAGCCAAAATCATGGAATGGTTTGGGTTGGAAGGGATCTTAAAGCTCCCTCAGTTCCACGGGCAGGGAAGGTGCCCCTGCCCAGTGGAATGAGATCATCCGTAAAATCTCTTCCATTCCATGACTACTTTGTCCTTATGGGAATTGTGTGATGCCATTACTTTGATTGTGGGATGGGGCAGCCACAGCTTCCTTGGGAATTCCATCCCAGCCCCCCAGCTAGGAATTCTTTCTCAGTATCCCATTTAAATCACTGGGAAGCCATTCCCTGTGTCCTGTCCCTCCATCCCTTGTCCCCAGTCCCTCCCCAGCTCTCCTGGAGCCCCTTTAGGCCCTGGAATTTGCTCCAATGCCTCCCTGGATCCTTCTCTTCTCCAGGGGAGCACCCCCAGCTCTCCCAGCCTGGCTCCACGTCTGAGGGGCTCCAGCCCTGGCAGCAGCTCTGTGCCCAGCTTGAATGGGGCTGGGAGTGTCCATGGAAGGGGTCCCTGCCCACAGCACAGCTGGCACTGGAGGAGCTTTCCCAGCCCTCACACCCCAAACCATTCCAGGACTCCACACAGCCCCTGGGTGGGAGGCGGCCCCTCAGCTGCAGGAGTAGAGCTCGGGAATCCCAGATAGGGATCTCAGAGACTCCCAGAAATCCAGAGCGTGGTTCCTTCCTGAAGTTCCTGGTGGAATTTCACCCTCCGTCTGCAGCTTCCCAGCCCTGCCTTGGTGGCTTGGAACTATCAGCTTCCTTGGAAAAATTATCCCTTATTTGTAATCCCTATCAGGAAGGAATTCCAGGCTGTGAGGGTGGGGAGGGGCTGGGATGGAATTCCCGGAGAAGCTGTGGCTGCCCCTGGATCCCTCGGAATGTCCCAGGCCAGGTGGGATCACCAGGGCTATGGAAGGTGTCCCTGCCCTTCTCCCATGTTTCAAACCCTTGGAAAGTGCTGCTTTTCCTCAGCTCCTTCCCGTTCCCTAGTTAATATGTGTTCCCAGTTGGAATCAATCACTCCAGGGAGATGGTTCCGTGCTGACCAGTCTTGGACAAGCTTTGCAAAATGATTGATTCCCAGCCCAGCTTTGGAAAACTTGCGAGCAGCTCCATGTGGAGCCGGAGCCAGTCCCGCTCTGCGCTCCTGGCAGCGCCGGGGGCTGGCGGAGCAGCCATTCCCTCCAGGCCCAGAACCGGGAGCACATATGGAAGTTTCTACTCCTTGTCACGTTTGCTGGGCATGTGGTACCTCCCTGCTATCCTGACGCTGGGACTGATGGGATGGAGTGCGTGCGGAGCGGCACGGATGGCTCCAGAATTACAAACAGCTCTAATAGGCCTTTTCCTGGGAAAAGGATGGTCGGTGCTGGGAGCTGGGCTCGTGTCTCTGCGTCGTTCCTGTCTCGGCACTCCGGGAAGCTCATTGTGGATCATCACAGAGATGATCCGGGAGCTGGAGCCACTCCCCTGTAGAGCCAGGCTAGGAAACCTGGGAACCTTCACCTGGAGAAGGGAAGGATCAAGGGAGACCTCAGAGCAAATTCCAGTGCCTGAAGGGGCTCCAGGAGGGCTGGAGAGGGACTAGGGACAAGGAATGGAGGGACAGGACACAGGGAATGGCTTAGATGGGATGTTGGGAAGGAATTCCTGGATGTGAGAGTGGTGAGGGGCTGGGTTGGAATTCCCAGAGAAGCTGTGGCTGTCCGTGGATCCCTGGAAGTGTCCAAGGCCAGGCTGGAACAACCTGGGCTATGGAAGATGTCCCTGCCCATGGCAGGGGGTGGCACTGGATGATCTTTAAGGTCCCTTCCCACCCAAACCATTCCACAGGGAGGGCTCTTCCCTCTCCCAGGGAGCTGGAAGGGCTGTGGATGTGATTCCATAAAACCCCCAAGTCCAGGTTTGGGTCCCATTCAGAGATGGGGAATCCACAACCCCTCTGGGTGACCATTCCCAAATCCATGATGCTGGATCATGTCAGGATGTGGAAGCAGTTTCTCCTCTGAGGGTCAGGACTTTTTTCTCTACCAATTCCTGTTCCCATGGGAAAAAAAGGGACTCTGTTTATATTCACAGCTGGTGAACAGGAAGAGGTTAAAAATCCTTGGAAGCTCTCGAAGCTTTTTGGCCCTGTAGTTCCTTTGGTCTCTCAGATGTTTTCCAGCGACTTCGGTTCCAAACGTTACCCCTGTAATTTCCATAAAACACCGGGAGCTCTCTGAACCTTCCCTGTGTTCTCCCATTCAAAGGGAAAACATGGATTCTCTCATTAAACTTGAGAATTCAGCCACGAAACCCCTTGTCAAGGGGGAGCCAGGGCGGGATGTTCCCCCCGAGTCAACCTGAGCCAGCATTCCGCTTGCAAGGCCTTTGTATCCAACATTTCCACAGGAAAACGGGATGACAAGGGCCTTGTAAGGTGAGCAGGGCCAGGCTTTAAGGATTTGTTGGAATAATTTGCCAAAGAGGAACATTTTGAAGCCAATCCTGGTAGAAAAGCCCCCCTGGATCATCTTGAAAGGGAAACAAGGCAGAATCCAACATGGTGACAAGTTTTTTTCCAGGAAAAATATTCCCAAAATATTCCTTTGCATCTCATTGTTCCTCAGCGTCTCATCCATCCCCCCCCAGAACTGGTGACACCTCCCAGAGGGGTTAGGCTTGGAAAAAATGGGATGAGGGCACTTGCAGGTGTTTGGAATTTGAGCCTGGCATGGAAATGGTACATGGAAAACAGGGATACCAAGATCTGTGTCTCTTAGTTTATAATTCATAGGAATATCCTGATAAAAATTTGGGCACCCTTTATGGTGCCTTTTTTCCCCATCCATTAATATCCTGGGATTGTCCATATTTCCATGCCTTCCTCCATGTATTTCCCGGGATTTTGGGGTGGAAAAGGGACTTTTTGCTGAATCCAGAGGCTGATGAAGCTCAATGTGTTTGCTCCAAAACACTGGAGCCACTTTTTTTGGGAATTGATGAGGGAATAGATTGGGAAAGTCACCCAGGTCAGGAGCAGGGGGAGAGGAGCAGGAATTTGGCAGGAAAACATTGGAGCGGCTCCGGTGATCCAGGTGCACTTGGGCTCCTGCACGGAGGGACTCCTCCCAGCTGGAAGGTCATGGAACACATTCCATGGTCCCCTTCTTCCTGGGAAAAGCCCTCATTAAACAGGGTGGGAACGGTGGGATCGCCGCATCCCGGCCGACATTCCCGGTGCCAGAGTGGAGGGAACAAAGCAGGGAAGCGGTGCTGGCAGGGAGAGCAGAGGGATCTGAACGGGAATAATGGAGGGAAGGAGCTTTGATCTTTAATAATGTCAGGAATTTTAATTGGAGGGACGGAGCAGCAAGAAAAGAGCGGGATGAACCCGTTTCCTGGGATAAAGGGCAGGAATTCCTAGGAAATAAGAAATAATTGTAGGATAAATCACTGGGAAGTTCAGTGGCAGAATTGCTTTAAATGGATTCATTTGGGCTCAATCTCCTGATAAATTGGTAGAAAAGTGGGAAAGGCATCGGTGTTCCTGGCGGATCCAGGTGTGGGAAAGGGAGCAGGGATTGCTGGGAGCCTTCTGCTCTCTCCAGAGGCACTTCCAGCCTCACGGGGCCCACCTCTCCCTCAGAAGGTGGATATTCCTGCTCCCACATTCCCGCTCCACCGCTGAGTACCTGCAGGTGCAGAGCATCCCGGGATTCCCAACCTGCATCCCTGCTCCTTATCCTGCCCCTGCCCAGTTGGGAGAAACCAGGGATGAGATCTGATGCTTTTTCCTGATCCCACCTGGATGAGGCTCCTCCGAAGCTTTGGGAGAAGGGCCCAGATGTCCCTGGAGCCACATCCCAGAGCTCGGAGGGGCCCGGGAAGCAGCCGGACCCCCGGGATGCTCCGACCCCAGCCCTTGGCAGCCGTTCAGGGAAGGAGCTTCAGCTGTTCCCGGCTCATCCCGTTTTCCTCCCGCCTGGGACGTTCCAGGCTTGATGCCGCATCGGTGCCAACAAAAAATATCCCAGGAATTCAAAATGCAGGGATTTTTCCCTGAGCCATGGTTTTGGATTCCAGGTTCTCTTTAATGTGAATTAATTTCATTAGGAAAATTCCGCACTCAAATCCCCCCTGTTTCCACAACAAAGGAAAAATATTCCACCTTTTTCTAAGGATGACTTCCAGTTTTTTCCCAACCTCTTCAACCCCAGACAAATATTCCAGTGAAATCCACATAATTTTCCTTTAAAAAGCAGCCCCTGAGCTTTGCAGCAGCGGCGGCAGTTGGGTTTTTCCAGGAGGGATAATTTCCTTTCCATCTGGATGGATTTGGTGGATTCTCTCCCTCTCCAGCTTTAACTCTTTGTCTTGTTATTCCCATTTTGGAGGCAGCAGAAAAAAAATAACAAAACCAGGAAGGTGTAGAAACACCATAAAAAAACAAGGCAAAAGATTGGAATTAATAAGAAATTCAGGGCTGTGACTCCGTGGGGAAAATCCTGGGAATTTAGGATTTTGCTATTTTGTTTATTTTGATAATTTTGGGAATTGTTTTTGGTTCCAATTCCAATGTCTTTCAGTATCTCTGGACACGAAACCCTTTGAAACCTCCTCCTTTCTCCCGAAATGGTGACTCTGATCCCGACACACTCCCGAGTTTCCAGAGCCGGGACTGGGAGCAGGGAGGCCCTGCATTCTACGGGGGTGCTTTGGAAAGGTTGGAATTTTTGGAGCAGAGCTTACTGGTCCTTTTATAGGATTTTGGGATAAATATGGATATATTTTCATCCCAGTTTTCCTCCCTGTTGCCGGCTGGGAACTCTGAGGCACTGGGAGCCGAATTTCCAGCAATTCCTGGTTCAGGATGACCCCCTCCCAAAATGACCCCCTTAAACTTGCTCGTCACATTTCCTTGTCCTGTAAAAACCCCCTTTGGGATTTTTTGTCCTGTAGAAACCTCTGCAGTTTTTTCCTGAGGAAAAAGTTGGGATGAGGAAGGCTGGGCTCTGGAGGGGACTTTCTCTCTTTCTGCTCCTTTCCTCCCCCAGCCTTGGAAAATGCTCTTGGTGCGCTTGGAGTTCTCCCGGAGTGCAAGGAGAGAGTAGCTGGATTTAGGGATTCATCCCAAGCCTCCCGGCCTTCTCCCCACAGGGATAAACCTGGCCCGGTTTTAGGAGATCCGGCTTTATGGGGAGGCCGAGGTGCAGGGAGAATTCCCGAGCCCAGCATTCCCTGACCATTCCCAAAATTCCCTTCATTTGCAGGGAATATTCACTGTAAATCAGTGTTCACCTGGCCCTTAAAATCCCATGTTTTTGCCAGGAATGTTCACAAGAAATCTGTATTTCTTGTGAAATGGCCCAAAGCATTCCCAAAATTCCCTTTTTTCCTGATATCCACAATGAATCAATATTTATTGTGAAATGATCCAAAGCATTCCCTGAATTCCTTTTATTTCCAGAGAACATTCACAATAGATTGAATATTTATTTGGAAACACTCCAAAACATTCCCTAAATTCCCTTATTTCCAGATATTCACAATAAACTAATATTTATTGTGAAAAGGTCAAAAAATTCCTTAAAATTCCTTTATTTCCAGAGAATGTTCTCAATAAACTGATATTCCTTTGGAAACACTCCAAAACATTTCCTAAATTGCTTTTATTTTCAGATATTCACAATAAATTAATGTTTACTGTGAAATGATCCAAAATATTCCCTAAATTCCCATATTTTCAGATATTCACAGTAAATTAATGTTTATTGTGAAATGACCCAAAATATTCCCTAAATTCCCATATTTTCTGATATTCACAATAAATCAGTATTTATTGTGATATGCGCCAAAGCATTCCCTAAAATCCCATTTATTTTCTCAGAATCCTGCAATAAACCCATGTTCTTTCGGAAACACTCCGAGACATTCCCAAAAATCCTGTTATTTTCAAAGAATGTTCCCATTTTTCCTTTTCCCCTGGAGTTCTGGCACCTCTGTCTCTATTATTCCCTATTATTTTGTATTATGTGAGAGGTTTTTCTGCTGCTGCAGGTGTTGTTTATCACTGGAGCAGCCTCGTGGCAGGTGGAGATTATCCATGAAATTGGAGAGAGGAGCGAAAACGGTGGGACTGGAGATTTTGGGACCTGTCCAGGAGGCAGGTGTGGAAGTGATTTTCTCAATCCCTCGGCTCCTGTTTGTGCGTGGGATGAGAGGCCATGGAATGAGAGGACGTGGGATGGGGACATGGGATGAGAGGCCACAGGATGGGAGAACACGGGATGAGGACATGGCACGAGAGGAAAGGGCCTCAGGCAGTGCCAGGGGACGTCCAGCTCGGGCAGCAGCAGGAATTTTTCCAGGGAAAGGGCGGCCGGGCAGCGGAAGGGCTGCCCCGGGCGCGCTCCGCTCCGCTCCGCTCCGCCTGCCCGGCCGCTGCGAGACCACGGCGGCGCTGGGGGTGTGTGGCGGCCGCGGCTCCCCCCTCCCGCCGGGAAGGGGCTTTGGCAGCCCGCGGCCCTCGGGGGGCACCGGGGCAGCCCCGAGCGCGGCTCCCGGCGCCAACAAGGAGCCCTTTGTTCCCGGCGCCGGCCGCTCGTGGGATGGGGCAGCTCCCGGCGGAGCGGAGCGGGGGCACCCTCGGCATTGGGCTCCTCGGGGCCATTTGCATGTCAATGGCGCTCCGGCTGCTCCCTCCGACGCGCTCGCCGGAATGCCGATGAGGGCGACCGCGGGCCCCGCCGCACGGCCGAGAATTCGGGAAGTGCGGGAAGAGCCGCCGACGGCTTTGGGGGCGTCGGAGGGGCGGCTTTTGGCGGGGACGAGGCGCCGCTCCCCGCGCGCTGCGCCCAGACCTTGGATGTGCCGGGCACTTTGGCCCGCGCTGGGATGTGCACGGGCAGTTTATCCCGGGCTTGGATCTTCCCGGGAAGTTCCCCCCGCGGTTGGATGTGCCCGGGCAGTTTCTCCCGGACTTGGATGTGCCCAGGCACTTCTCCCGGGCTTAGATGTGCCCGGGCTCGGACGTGCCCGGGGTCGGATGTGCCGAGGCACTTTATCCCGGGTTTGAACGTGCCCGGGCCCTTTTTTTCCCCGGGCTTTGATGCGCCGGGGCAATTTATCCCGGGCTTAGATGTGCGCGGGAAGTTCCCCCGGGGCTGGGATGTACTCGGGCACTTTTCCCCGGGCTTGGATGCGCCCGGGAAGTTTTCCCGGAATCTGGAGCGAAGCAAATACTCAGAATCCTCGCCCAAATCCATATTTTCCAAATCCATCTTGAAATCCCTGGTTTGATGGGTGTTTATCCCGTTGTTTCCCGGGAATAAAGTGGGTGGATGGAGTGAGGTCCTCGCTGCTGCCGTGCCAGAGCCTTAATTGGTTTGGGGATTCTGGAGTGCTTTGTATCCAATCAGTTCCCAAATATTAGTGATATTCCAACTGTTTCCCTGGTGTGATCGTTCCTCTTGTCCAGCCCACTGGGGGTTTAATATTTTACATATATTTTATATATATATAACATATATTTTACGTATATTTTATATATAATACATACTTTATATTTATTTTACATGTATGTTGTACATATTTTATATCTACTGTATATGTGTTTTATATTTATATTACATATATTTAGTATGTTTTTATGTGGCATATATTTTATATATGTTTGATATATAATATATATTTTACATATAAAATACATACTTTATATATTCTACATATATTTTATCTATTTCTATATACATTCTAGACATATGTATTTTTCTATATATATTTTTATAAATTGTCATATATTTTCTATATTTAATTTACATAATATATATAACATATATCTTTTATCTATTGCACATTTTAAATATTTTTTATATATTTTCCATATTTATATTAATTTTTATGTATTTCCTTTAAATCTTGGATCTTTTTAATGGATTTAGATATATTCTATTTTTAGAGCTATTTTACATCTATTTTATCTATTCTTATTTGTCTATTAGGCATATCTTAGATACATTTTAGATGCATTTTAGGTATATTTTAGATATTTTATGTATGTTTTAGAGATTTTTATATATATTATAAGCCCTGATAGATTTGATTCCCAGATTTTTCCCCAGGACAACGCAGCTGCTTCATCCAAACAGAAGCAGCAGAATTCCATGATTTTAATTTTATTATCATTATTATTAAATCCCTGCACTTCCCTCCCTCCAAAATCCATGCCAGTAGAGCTCCCAAAGTTTTCCAAGCAGTGGCTGAAGAGTCCCTGAAATTCCCCAAAGCCCCGAATTCCTCCTATTTCCCAGGCGTTTGGTGCGGGTGAAATTCCGGTGGTGTCCCCTTTAAAGATCCGCCCGTTCCCACGTCTCGCTCCGCTCCCGAAGCTTTCCTTCCCGGGTTATTTTTAGGGATGAGCAGCTAATGATGAGGGAGGTCGCACGCATGGATCCTGCAAATCCCTGTTTCCTTGAATCCCTTGCAGCAAAGTCTCCTGGGAGGGGACATGGACATCGGCACCCCCGGAGCGCTGTCCCCGTCCAAGCCCGGCTCCCAGTACTACCAGTATCCCAGCAATAATCCGCGCCGGAGGCCTCTCCACAGCTCCTCCATGGGTGAGTGACCCCTGCACCTCTGGCCTGCCGCCACTCCCCGAGGAATCCCGCTTTACCGAGCGGGACTTGGGAAGGGACACAATAAGTGCCGCCGGAGCGACGCTCCCGGGCGTTATTGCAGCCTCGTTGAGCCTTCAAAATTCCCTGTTTTCCCCGAGCCGGAGGCAAAACCTACAACTTGTAGCACCCACATCCCAAGTATTAAGAATTTCCTGCCAATTCCCCTTGGAATTGTTTATTCCTTATTATTTCTTGTTCTTTTTTTCTTGTTCCTTATAATTATTGTCCCTTGCCACAGTGGGAAAGGGACAAGCCAGTAAAATCCTGGGGGAGAAACCAATGGAATTCCTGAAAAATCCTGCTGGGAACATCTTGGGGGAGAAATCACTGAGGTTCCTAAAAATATTCCTGCTTTATAAAGCAGCTTTTCCTCTCTTTTTTTTCCAGAAGTTCAGACAAAGAAAGTTCGGAAAGTTCCTCCAGGTTTGCCATCCTCAGTAAGTACCATGCGCTCCGGAGGCTTTGTTTGGGAGCGGGGGGATGGAAAGAGCCTGTTCCCGAGGGATGAGGCTCAGGGGAAGGTCAGGAATGCCTGGAGCCTTGGCCCAGAAGGCTTGGAGCCGGGAGTGTGTTCCCCGGGAATGTGGTGCTCTGGGAATGCGGTACCTGCTCCGGGCACGTGCCCTTTGTGGGGCTGATTGATGGATCGACGGCGGGAAGAATTAATGAGGAATTCCCTGGGAATCATCCCCAGGATGCAGGAGAAGTCCCCTGGCGTTCCAGAGGGATGTGGGATGGCAGCCCCGGCATTCCAGAGCTCCAGGAGCTGGGGGGGGCCAGGTGCCAAGAGCTTCCTTCCAGGTGCCAAGAGCTTCCTTCCAGGTGTTCCAGAGGCTCATTAATGCCCCTTATCCTGGTTTTCCCCCCGAATTCTCAGGAATATCCCGGAGCCCCTCAATTTATTGACAATCACAGGCATGTTTTGTAGTGTTTTCCTGGAATTTCCCCATTTTCCAGCCAGAAATTGCCAGGTTTCTCCACAAAATCCTTTGTTCCACGCTGCGAAAAATTTTTCAATTAATTCCAATTTTTTGGATTCTTTGTGAAATCTTCATGGAATTTTTCCTCAGAAAGCCATTCCCATGTGCTTTCATTTCAAATCCATGAAAATCCGTGGAAGAATGAAGTTTTGTGAGAAATGACCCAACATTTCAGTCCCAAAATTATGGCTAAAATTGCATTTGATTGGAATTTTGGAATTTTTTCATTCCAATTTTTTTAATTATCTTTAAAATATATTCATATTTATTTGTATCTCATTTGCAAACCAATAGCAAAGAAACCCCCCAGGAGGGAAAAGCATCCCTTTCCTACCTGAGAAATCCCGTTCTTTGGGCTCTGAATCTGATTATTAGTGGCAATTAATCCTTGGGAATATGCAATAAATTAATATTAGAATTGATACAAATGAATCTCCCATGGATTTGAGGATTTTACCTGGAATCCCTGGAAACTGGCAGTTGGCAATTATATTTATATCTACAAAATATGTCTAATTATAAAGCTCTAAATTTAAATGTAAAGTTGCTAAAGTACTTTTATTAATAATCACTTTATAATCAATAAAATTCAAATTGAAAGAGGGAAATACACGGAAACATCCACATTTATTCCCATGGATTAATCAAATTTTTATCAAATGGATCAAATACAAACATTAGAAGTGGTTAAAATACAATATTATAGAAATATTCAAATGCAAACCCCAATTAATTGATAATATTCATTATTTTGAATTAAAAATCAAGTCCCAAAAGTGCCTTTGGAATTTATTTCCCTCGGTGCTTTTTGGGGCTCGATTTTCTTGGACGCTTGAAATGCTTGGAATTATGTCATGAGGAAATCTGCCATCCGAACTATTCCTGAATATTGGAATCCCTCAAAACTCCGTTTTCTGGGAATAAATGGATCAAAAGGTAGGTCCTGGAACGGGAATAAAAGTGTGGAATGATGGAAATAGGGGGTTTTTGAAGGGAAAATGGGGAGATCTGGGGCATTTGGGGTTCAGATATCCTGGAATCACATCTTTAATTTGGGATTGAATTAGGGTGGATACTTGGATTGACATCCTTAGTGAATGGGGTGGGAATATTCTGGGATTTCTCTTAAAATGTGGCTTTTCCCATGGGATTTGTGCCAGGAACACGGAGCAGCGTCGGTGAATAACCCTCAGTTATCGGGGGTTAAATCAGCAGCAGGTGGAAATTCCAGGGATACATGGGAATAAATGTGCTGGAGCAGCTCCTCCTTTATTCGGGAAGCGGCTCCGAGTTTGGAAAACAAAATCCATGAAACAATGGGAACAATCAGTTGGCAAATAAGGACTTGCAGATGAACTGGGGGAGACTCTTCGGGGGATTTCAGGGAGTGATTCCAGGCTGGGATGAGCCGGAATCCAGGTGTGGATTCCCAGCACTTGGTCAGGATGTAGCTGCGTCCCTCAAAACCCGCCCGCTTTTCCAGTGCCGTGGGATGTTCTCAGTTGCTGCTGGAATCTGAGGTACTCTGAGGTGTGTGTGTGGGGGGAGGGTGGGATTGGCTTCATCAACATATTGCCAGGGTTGGATCTTTCCAGGTGGAGCTTCTCCCACCTCGGAAAGGTTTTTCCGTGGTCCTTCTCTGTGGACACTTTTCCTTTACAATTCCAAGGCCTCCTGCTCCCGGAGCTCCGTAGGCAGAGGGATGGAAGTGGTGGATCCCACTGTCCAGCATATCCCACATCCTGCTCTGCCCACGGAGAAGGGATCCATGGAGAAAGAGCTACTCCAGCTTATCCCCCCGGGAGTAAATCCTGAGAAGGTGATGGCACCATTCTGGTATCCCAGCTTTCCATCCGCTGGATCCTCATAATTCTGGGAGCAGCACCGAGGGTGATGTTTGGAGAGCTGCTTTCCTGAGATCCCAGGGAGGTGATTCGTGGTTGGAATGGGTGATCCTGGAGGTCTTTTCCAATATAAACTCTTCCATGGTTCCGCCCTTGTTCCCCCCCGAGGAGCTGGAGTGTCCTGAGAGTCCCCAGTCCCGGGATCCTCAGGTGTGAGAATTCCTCAGGTGTGGAGGCTCCTCACATGGAACCATTTCCTTGGACGTGGACGCTGGGTGAGGGACCTTTCCCTAAAATCTAGCCTGGGTGAGGGATCCCGGGCAGGGGGTCTTTGAGGATCAATGGGATGGGGGAGGCCTCCTCGCTACAGAGTGGCCTTCCTGGACACAGATCCAAGGAAAGGAGGGAAAATGCGAGTGGAAACTTGGAAACACCACCTTGTCGGTGCTTTAAAACAGATTAAAAGGCACAAACATTCCCATGAAAATGATTTTACAGATTTTAAGGCATTGCACGGGATATCCCCAGCGTGGAGAAGTGACTGGAATGGGATGTGGGTGCTCCAATATTGGTATTTTCCTGGGAAATTGACCCATTTGGGGATGTTGAAGTATTTTGGACTCCTAAAACAATCTCTTAAAAATCCAAGAGTGAATCTTCCCAGTTGGGATTAGTGGAATCTGGCTTAGCTGGGACAGAGACTCCCTCTTCAGCAAACTGTGGGAAGTGCACAAGGATTCAGGAAGGAGTTGCCCCAAAAATTCCAGGTTCTTTCAGAATTCTTGCAAAATGAGACCCAGGGGCTCCAGGGCAATATTTTTAAGGAAGTTCCTTGAAATTTGGAGCCAGGAATTCTATTTGTTCTTTGGGATGAGAGTCCAAAAAATACTTTGGATATAAATTAGTATTAATTAAATATAATAAATAAATATTCAAATCCATAGGAATTCCATATCCAGCTTCCAACACTTCGTTTCTCTGATGAAATCATTTATAATTTGATTTTCCTTTGGGAATTCAGCTGAGTTTCCCGAGTGGAAACCCCAGGACTTAATTGAACATAGAAACACTTCAGTCCTCTCTTGGATCTGGCTCTTCCCACTTGGATTTGGGAAAGGAAGGATTATGGGGGTGGGAGTGGCTTCATTTCAGCCCCTTCTTAGATTCCTTGAGGTTTTTCTGCCATTCCAGAAGGGATTGGACATGGGATGGGAGTGGAGAGTGGGATGCTAAGGAGGGAGTTCTCCCTGGAAGGGAGAATTGCACCCCAGTATCCCATCCAAACCAGTGGGAAGCCATTCCCTGTGTCCTGTCCCTCCATCCCTTGTCCCCAGGCCCTCTGCAGCTCCCCTGGAGTCCCTTAGGCACGGGAAGGGGCTCTGAGGCCTCCCTGGGAGCAGGACCACGATTAGGACCAGGACCAGGAGCAGAACCAGGATGAGGATTAGGACCAGGAGCAGGGACTGGGAGTGGGAACCAGGCCAGGAGGAGGGGTTGGGAGTGGGAACCAGGCCAGGAGCAGGAGCGGGAGTAGGGGCAGGAGCAGGACTGGGAGCAGGAGCCAGAAGAAGGAGCAGAACTAGGATTAGGAGCCTGAAGCAGGAGCAGAACTAGGATTAGGAGCAGGAGCTGGAGGTGGAGCCGGAGCTGAAGCAGGCCTGGGATCTGCAGCAGGAGGGACATTCCCCATTTCCGGCCATCCTCTGGGTTCCCCGAGCCCTGCGAGCCCCGGTTCCCGGCACTGTCCGTGTGCCAGCGTGGCCCCGGCTCCCGTGGCGCACCGCAGCCCCTTGCGCGGCGCTCCCGGTTCATTTGGGATTCTGCGGAGGGTGTTTTTTGAGGAAAGGCGCGTTTCCCTCGCTGACCCCGGAGCATCTGTTCCGATTATTTTTTTCCCCGAGCCTCCTTTGGCATTGGGGAAGTGTTAATGTCTCTCAGATCTGTTGAATGCTATTTAGGGATATTTATGATCACCTCTTGCTTTCCGGGGGAAAAGTGCCGGGATTTTTCCTTCCCAGGCAGCCGGGGAGAGCTTGGGATGAGGGAACAGCTTGCTGGGAACATGTGCTTCCCGTGACAGTAAAAAGAACAAATCCCATCCAATCGGGGGAATCGGTGCACAAAGCCGGAGCTTTAGGCCTGGCCTAACCTGGAATTGCTTCCCAAATTCCACGTAAAACTCGATGCTGGGGATCTGTCAGTGTTTTCCAAGGGGTTTCGCTGCTTCCAGCCTCCACTTTTGCCTTTTAATTGGGGAAATCGGAGCTTTGGATCCTCCTTCCTGATCCTAAAAGCAACGAGGAATCGGAAGGAAGGGCTTGGGAAAGTGAATGGATTCAGAGGGAGGAATCGTGAGATCCTGAAATGGTTTGAGTTGGAATTATGGAGTCATGGAATGGTTTTGGTTGGAATCACAGAGTCCTGGAATGGATTGGGTTGGAATTGTAGAATCCTGGAGTAGTTTTGCTTGGAATCACTGTCCTGGAATGGTCTGGGTGGGAAGGGATTTTAAGGATCATCTCATTTTGCCATGGACAGGGACATCTTCCACTATCCCAGGTTGCTCCAACCTGGCCTTGGAAAATTCTAGGGATGGAGCAGCCACAGCTTCTC